CAAGCAGTCACTGCAGGGTCAGTAATGACTGAGCGCAGACAAAAAAAAAAAAAAATTAAGTTTAAATAAATACAGAGTAAATTAAGTGACACTAAATAATAGCTGGAGGCAATATAGACCCAAAAGGTACACATGGGTAAAACTGATAAACTTCCTAAGTAAGCTAACAATTTGAGATTATTGATATATGCATGGTAATTGATTTTCTCATCCCATATTGCAGATGGCGGCGCAGTGTGTAACAAAAGTGGAGCTGACTGTGTCATGTAACAATCTCCTGGATAAAGATATTAGCTCCAAGTCAGACCCACTTTGTGTCCTACTTCAGTACACAAGTGGACAGCAGTGGTATGAGGTATGATATAATGAACCTTGTGATGCTTAATACCGTCGGTTGCTTTGTTATTGGGAAATATGAAGTTTAGGAAGTCCTCTTTTGACTTTCCCCTTAAGAATTAGGACTACATTGCTTTTAAACAGATGTGCACCATTAACTATTTCAAATGGCAGTTTCTACACATTCAAGCAGTCTAAGAACAGTTCTGTTTCTTTTTCCTTTTATTAGAAAATTCATTTTGCTGTTTAAAAGTTCACATATAGAGTTGCATCCTACTTTGCCATTCTGACAAAGAAACAGAATAGTAGTTCTCATGCCAGGTATCTTGCAAATCTTTTCCAGAGGATTGAGTGAATTCTTTGGAGATGGAGTGCACATGTAGTATAGGTAAAGGAGAAGTGTGAAGGGAAGTCCCATTAATTGAATAGAAGTTCCTGGATATCAGCTATGGTCTGTACAGTTATATCCTATACAGTCTGTCCACCAGTGAAACAGACACCATGGGCAGAATATTCAATTTTCCATCCTCCTTGCTCAGACCTTTTCCTCCCACATCTCCAAAATTTAGGGAGATTATATGATTCTCCAGATCAGAGTAGATAAGTATAGAAGGGGAGCCAGAAAGGAGGAAATCTTATGGACAAATGTAAAATATACAAACATTTTCAGTTCATACTGAATTATTGTATGTACAAAAACTAAATAGATAATTAAATAATGCATCTATTACATAATGAGTAGAATGAGACTTGCTCTTAAATCAGTTTGATGAAATTGATTGGATTTAATTATTATTTAAAGTTCCATCAATTTCATTGTATCTGCATTCAGTGTATTAAGCCTGGGTTCAGCCCAGTATTGCTTCATCCTTAACAGCTTTACTGTGTCTTGTACAAAGATTTAATAAAATATTGTCCATTAAAAAGTAAACATTTTCTGGTTTTGCTAAAATTGCATTTTTTGTTAAAAGACTTTTCATAATATTCTTAAAAATAGAAAAAAAGTGGTATACAACATGTATTTCATATTTATTTGAAAGTAGGTTCTATCAAAATAAACAATTGGCCTTTAATTATTGATGTAATCTAAAATTATATTTACTTCCTTTTATTCCATTAATAAGGTTTTTTTTTTTGTAAAATGTATGTTTTAGCAATCTGGGAAGGAAAATCTGTCAATATTCTATCATTTTAAAGATTTTTTTAAAGGTTTCTTCAGTGCCTAGTTGTATTGTTTACACTTTACAGTACATTGGTACCTCTAGTTACGAACTTAATTCGTTCCGTGACTCTGGTTGCAACTCAAGTTGGTCTCAAGTTGAGGTAAAGTTTCCCATAAG